TACGCTCCATCTGTAGTTCCCTCTGTGCTGCCGGCCCACGGTGGGGATGCGGAACTCGGCCCCGTCCCCAGCAGGGTCCATGTGTCGCGGCGGGTTCAGGTCTCCAGCCTTGTGCAGGAAGAACCTCACGTCCCAGAACTGCCCCTGACACCGGATGGTGATGTCTGCCCCTGGGGCGGTGACCCCAGTGAGGTTTAGAGAGATGGAGGGTCTGGGTAAGCTGGTATCTGCGCACAGGAGAGAGGATGTGAGAGCCAGACCCAGGCACCCACCCAGCCCCGTCCTCCAGCTGCAGAAGAGAAGAGTGTGTGTGTGTGTGGGGGGGGGGGTTGATAGCAGCTTTCAACTACCTGAAGGGGGGTTCCAAAGAGGATGGAACTCGACTGTTCTCAATGGGGGCAAAGGACAGAACAAGGAGCAATGGTCTCAAGTTGCAGTGGGGGAGCTTTAGGTTGGATATTAGGGAAAAATATTTCACTAGGAGGGTGGTGAAGCACTGGAATGGGCTCCCTAGGGAGGTGGTGGAATCTCCATCCTCATCTTCTATTATTCCCCAGCCGTTCCCAGGCACGGGGAGATCCAGGGGGCCCCGTCAGAGATTCTCTCCCAGATCCCAGAATCCTGGCCCTGCGAGTTGGGCTTCCAGCCCCACAGACACGGGGCTGCGGCTGCCTTGTTCTTGGGGTGCTCATATGCCATGTGTGGCCCCTGCCTCATTCACTGCATCCAGTCCCTCCAGCACAGAGTGACTCATGGGCTGGTCGCTGGCACCCAGCATGGCAGGGTCTGAGCCCCACAGAGGAAAGGAGTCATCCCCATGGGAGGCAGTGAGACAACTTTATCCCTATTCTACAGGGGGGGAACTGGGGCACAGACAGATTCACTTTCCTTAGTGAGCTACCAGGGGCAGGGACTGTCTATTCACCCTGTGTTTATGCAGCGCTATTGAGACCAGTGTTGGCAGAGGTCTCCACTATCTGTGGGCATCTTGGTTTGTCGGTTCTCGGCCTGAGATCCCCCAAGATTGAGCCCCCCCACAAGGAAGGACACTTTTGAAAACCACAACGTGCTCCCATCACACAGGGTCTGTGGCCGCACCAGGGGCTGGGCCAGATCTCCAGGGTCCCAGCCCAGCGCCATGTCCACCAAGCCACTGCTTCTCCTGCAGCCCTGCCTCATTCAGCCCCAGCCAGGGCACTGCCTGGAAAAGGGCCTGGAGAACAGGGAGATGGGATCACAGGATTAAATAGCGACTCACGGTTCCTACACACAAGAGGCAGTATTAAAGTAGCCTCCCCGCCCCGAGTGTCCAGGGGCTGCTTCTCCCTTCTGGCTGGGGAACTCCCCAGTGACTCTGTCCCCGCTCACTGGCTGGGCTTCCCTCTTCTGGGTCAGGGCTCAGGGCAGAGCCTGGCTCTGAGCATCCCATTGGCTCCAAGCCCCTGTGAGGGTCTGGCTTGTGTGGGGGGCCTGGGAACGGGGATGCCGAGGCGGGCCCCTGACCTCTCACCACCAGCTCCACTGGTTCGCTGGGGTACGACACGGCAAACGGCTCCGATCGGCTGTGATAGGAGCAGCTGTAGTTCCCGCCGTCCTCCCGGCTCACGTTGCTGATGGGAAACACAGCCTCAAACCCGTCCGAATCCGCAGGTGGGAAATGGCGTTGCTCTTTATTCAGCACGAACTGCACACCCTGGTGCTGCCCCCGACACCGGACGGTCACGGCTCCCCCCAGGGAGACCCCCACGCTGGGGCTCAGAGAGATGCTGGGTTTGGGGTAGCTGAGCTCTGCAGTGGGAAGCAGACAGGCCGTGAGACGCAGGCCCCGTCACTCAGTCCTGGGATCTGTCCTTACCACGCAGCATCAGTGGTGGGTCAGACCCGGTGGCCCTGGGGACGGGCTCCTGGATGCCTTTCCACAGGGTCCAGAGTTTCCTCTGAGCCCTGGGCTAACAGCATGAGACTCGGAGCAACCCCAGCCCCTGGGGGCCCAGAGCTCTGTTCCCTAGTGTGTGACAGGCCAGTCCAGTCTCCAGGGTCCATTCACTTCCTGACTTCTCTGCTGCAAGGGCTGGTAGCCAGGACTCCTGGGTTCTGTCCCCGGCTCTGGGAGTGGGGTCTGGAGAGTGGGGTCTAGGGGGAGGGATAGCTCAGTGGTTTGAGAATTGGCCTGCTTAAACCCAGGGTTGTGAGTTCAATCCTTGAGTGGGCCATTTAGGTATCTGGGACTAAATCAGTACTTGGTCCTGCTAGTGAAGGCAGTGGGCTGGACTTGATGACCTTTCAAGGTCCCTTCCAGTTCTAGGATATCTCCATTAATTTATTTTATTTATGGGTGAGAGCAGGGGGGGATGGGGACCAGGACTCCTGGGTTCTGTGCACAGCACCACCACTGACTTGTAGGGGACTGTGCAAGTCTCTACTATACACTGAGGTTTATGACCTTCAGCTCCACCTATCACCCCCTAACTGAGGTGTTGTTTGGGAAAGGCCCCCCCGCTCTGCAGCTCCCCCTGGGGGCAGGGATCCCCCCTTCCTCTGCCCCAAATCTCCAGAGCGGGACTCTGAGCTGGGCCCCTCCTTCACCTCCGACAATCATGTCGACGGGGTCGCTGGGATACGACCAGCGATTCTGATCCGCTAGAGAGCGATAGTGGCAGGTGTAGCTCCCTCCATCTTCCTGGCCAACATTGGTGATGGGAAATTCAGCCACGGTCCCATCAGGCACCGTCCGCACCTGCTGGTTCGGGTGTCCAGCTTTACCCAGAAAGAACTCCATGGACCGTTGCCGACCCTCACAGCGGATGGTGACGCTTCCCCCGAGCGCCACCACCCTGCTGGGGCTCACCCAGATGGTGGGTTTGAGAAATTCACACCCTGCTTTCAACAAGAGATAGGAGTTAAACAGGGGAGACACAACCCCCACCGCCCCTCCACTCCCATTCAGTCCATCCATCATTCGGCCTCTCTAGGGGCACATCTTCACTACCTGCCAGATCGGCGGATAGCAATCGATCTATTGGGGATCGACTTATCGCGTCTAGTGAAGACGCGATAAAATCGATCCCCGATGGCTCTGCCGTCGACTCCGGAAATCCACCGTGGCAAGAGGCGGAAGCGGAGTCGACGGCGGCACGGCAGTGGTCGACTCGTCGCCATCCTCACAGCCAGGTAAGTCGACCTAAAATACGCAACTTCAGCTATGCTATTTACGTAGCTGAAGTTGCGTATCTTAGGTCAACTCCCCCCCCCCCCGTAGTCGTGTAGACCTAGCGTAGGAGTCTGTCCCCTACCTTGGGCAGGCAGTGCCGCCCATGGGGCTTGGGGGCAGGGGGTTCACCCATGTCACAGAGTGGGGGGGGGACACAAGGCCCTGCACCCCCGGCTTCCTTGAGATTCACCATGACTCTCAGCCAGCCAGTGAAGCAGAAGGTTTATTTAGAGGACAGGAACACAGTCCAAAGCTACGTCTTCACTACCCACCTGAATCGGCGGGTAGAAATCAATGTCTCGGGGATTGAATTATCGCGTCTCGTCGGGATGCGACAATCGATCCCCGAATCGACGTTTGTACTCCACCAGCGCAGGTAGGAGTAAGCGCCGTCGATGAGGGAGCCGCGGAGGTCGATTTCCCGCCGTCCTCACAGCAGGGTAAGTTGCCTCAGATACGTCGAATTCAGCCACGCTATTCGCGTAGCTGACTTTGCGTATTTTAAATCGACCGCCCCCCCTCGTAGTGAAGATGTAGCCTAAGACAGGTTTGCAGGCACAGAAAACAGGACCCCCTCAGTTAGGTCCATTTTGGGGTCCCAGGGACACCACAGCCCCACTGGGTGGAGGCAGAGCCCCGTCTGGGCTCCCTCCATTACCAGCCAGCTCCTGAAAACTCTCCCTCTCCCCAGCATCTCTTCCTCCAGCCTTTGTTCAGTTTCCCAGGCAAAGGTGTCACCTGGCCTCTAACCCCTTCCTGGGTTCTCATGTTACATGCTCAAGTATCCTCCCTCAAGGCCAGTCTCCCCTCCCCCAAAGCAGACCATCCTAGCCACACTCCCCTGCCTTCCCAGGCCAACACTCCCCATTCCGCATTCAAAGACCACATTAAGAACAGTCCCAGTTTGTCACAACTCACATGTAGCTCAGGACCCAGCTGCATGAGATATCACCTGCCCCACTCCGACTCCACCTGAGGCCAGCCAGGGAGCCTGACCAGTGGGCCCCCTGCAGCTCTGCCCACCGACTCGGATTTGGAAATAGAATCTGTGACCGGCGGGAGTTGCACAAGACCCACCTTTCCCCAGGCCTTGGGAACTGGGGGATGTGAGTGCAGGGGAGGGAGCTGTTGGGGGCAGATCTGGGGGGTTCTCCCCATGGCTGCACTGACCGTGAATGTTTTGGTTCCCCGAGGGGATCCAGAGCTAACGGACGGCCCCTGTTAGCGTTTGTATGAGCTGAAATAAATCCACGTGCCGCCCCCACCCCCGATCCTCACAGCCTGTAGGGGGCAGGACATTGAACCAGGGGACAGTTCCCATCTGCTTCCTCAGACCCCGGGAGCCAGATTCAGCTCCCAGTTACTCCAGGGAGGGGTGGCAGGACTGAGAAGAATGAGGCTGGGTCTGAGCTCACAGGGGGAGTTTCGGTTGAGTTTTGGGGAAGGTTCAGGGCTCAGTTCCTCTTTTCCCCACCCCATGTATCCCCTCCCCCATCCTTGATGTTACCGTCTTCCCCACAGACTGATACTCACCTCCCCACACCCCGCTGTGCCCGGCCAGCCAGCAGCCTGGAAAGGAGATGGCTCGTTAGTAACCAGATTCCAGAGCAACTGGATCCTACACCCTGGTCTCAGATTCCCCCCCCCCTCTGGGCACATGCCCTGGTCTCAAATCCCCACTATTGGCACACGCCTGGTCTCAGATCCTCCACCCTATGGGCACATGCCCTGGCTGTCTCCGATACTCACCGAGGAGGAGGACTGTGAAAGAAGACGCCATGACGGGGCAGTGGGGGCCCCTCAACGCTGTCACCAATGCCCCGGTGTTGAGCTCCACTGAGTTAGAGGCCCGAGTGTGAGCGGAATGAGGAACTGTGCCGGGGGCTGCAGCCCCAGGAAGCCTGTGATGCACTCGGCCCCTTTCTTCCCATCAGATGGTTTCTCTGCTCTCTCCGAGGCAAATCTACCATGCTCAGAGGAAAGCCAGCTCCCTGCAACACCCAGCAAACCCCATCCCCTCCTGCAGCTGCCTGGTGTGTCTCCCCACCCCATCACCTCCCAGCCCCACATGGGAGCTGCCCAGTCTGGGGGATCAGCTGGGAAACGGGGAACCTCAGGAGATGTCAAGAGATGCCCAGGCTGCCCCGAACTTTTCCAACAGACCCGTCCAACCTCCCTGGAGCAGCAGCTCAGAGCAGAGGAGGGATCCCCACCCCCCACAGTGCCCCCCACGGAGTGACCCTCTCCCATGGAGCGGGGCAGAGATTCCTTCCTGACCCAGCTGGTCCCAGTGCCCGCCCTGGAGCATGAGGGTGGAGGAGTCTGGTCAACCTCCTTCCCAGGTAGTGTCACTGAATTGCCGTTCTTAGCTCAGTGATGTGGCACAGAGGCAAGACAGAGGGGTGGGGGTTGTGGTTTCTGGCCCCCGTGAGTGGGGGAGGGAGGAATAAATGTAGATCCTGAGTTGTTAAAGGAGCAGCCAATAAAACCTGCCCTCAACTGGTGTTTGCTCTACTGCCAGTGAAACTCTGTGTAAACCTGATGCCCGGCACCTTCCCTGTTATATGCCCCGGCTCTGGGAGGGGAATGGGGTCTAGTGATTGGGGTGGGGGTTGCTGGGAGGCAGGACTCCTGGGTTCTCTCCTTGGCTCTGGTTGGGGGGTGGGGTCTGGTGCTTAGAGTAAAGGACACAGATTAGCACCAGCCCCCTAGAGGTGAAAGGCCCCATGTCCCTTCCCCAGCCCATCCCCGGGGCAGTGGGTCCACACAGCTCAGGGTCCTGCTGCGAAAAAGATGGGGGGCAGCCGACCAGCCCCGCAGAATGGGGAGGGGCAAGAATATGGGGACATAGCTCAAGAGAATCTCCCCCCACCCCAGCAGATGATCCAGCTCTGGCTCCCTAGCTCGTTTGCCCTTCACCTCCCACCCCCGACATTCACGCATTGGGCCCCTCCTCTCCCTGTCCTGCTTCCCCTCCCCCATTCATATCCCCTCAAACCCACCCCTGTCCCCTGATGTCCCTTTCTCCCCCCTGTTCTGCCCTCTGGCCTATGTCTGCTCCCACATACATGTCCCCCCACCCCGTCCCATGT